ATCGGGACCAAACTTTTAATCCGTTATAGAGAAAAATCCGTTATAGAAAGATCCGTTATAGACAGTGTAGACTGTATTTTGAATAAATTATTAATACTAATATTAACTGAATTTGGTGTAACTAATCAAATATTGGGGTAGTAGATCAATTTTAAATTTTATGCAAATTAATTTAAAAAATTCTTCGGTGCCCAATTACTCATTTTTTTATTAATATTAAGTAAACATGGTTTGAAAATTTTTCCAGTTATAGTTCCAATGTTATGTAAAAAAGTCAATTTTGGAAAAAAAGACTTATACCCGGTTTTTCCTAGAAAACCCCCCATATAATTCATTATTTTATTCTATTCATTATTTATTTATATAATAATAATTTATCTTGTATAATAATATCTACCTTATAATGATAATAAAAAAATTTTTTACCTTGTATATTCTATTTTAAAAGAAACATTTCATTTAAAATTATATAAAAAAATGCAAATTTCTAGTCCATATGTAACCCATGGAATGAATCGTATCTTAACATCTCTCCACAAAAAGAAAATAGCAGTCAATATAATCATCACATTCTTGATATACTCTAATTTCCCATTTACCCATTTTTTATGGACTTTTTTTTTAAAGGGAATTTAGTTTTTGCGCCTCGTGTGTAACCGTGGCTTTTTTCCCCAAACATAATAGGACCATTAAAAAAATTTTATACCAATTCTTCATTGGACTTTTTTAATGTATCCATAATAATAATAATTCTACCCTATCAATCAAATAACGGTGACATTTTTCACTTTTCTATATGTTTTTTACCTTGAGACTTCAATTAGAAGTTTTCGGGCCCTCATATGATAAATGCTTGAAGGTATCATTAAATCATATGGGTTGTTGGAGGATTGTGCAGTGTCCTATTACGAATTAAATTACTTTAACATGATTAAACAAAATTTTATTGAATAATCAATGCACTGTTATTGTTATTGATAAACAATCGTAGATCTTTGCCCATTTTCTAATTATAGAAAAAAACCAGCACAGCCTATAGACAACTTGTTAGAAAACAAACAAACAGAAGATCAGTTAATATTAGCATTTTTGGAAATAATCCGTTTATAATTATAAATTGTAGAATATTCTTTAAACTTTCCAAAAAATTAAATTTTGATAAAACGTTCATCAACTCAACATTAATATTAACCATTTTTTAAAAGTTGAGGGTTACTTTTCATGGTTAATTTTCTTCTGATGGCCATATCTTAACACTAACATTAATGAACATCTTGACATTAATATTAATATTAATGTTGGGTTAAGAACCTACAATATACAATGCAATAATTTTGTGAAACGTCCAATCTCATTTTGTAGATAAAATTATTCAACGTTGTACTGATTTAATGTTATCATAAAAAATTTCATAAATAATAATAATAAATATAAATATATATATTATTATAATATATAGCTTAAAAAAACTCTCTTAGAAATAAAATTCTATGTAATTTACATGATTATTTACATAAATTTGGGTTAAAAAAAAAAAATCTCTCTCTATATGTGCATTTATATTATTTTTTAAAACATAATGTGATATTATTCGTAGTTATCTATAATTATTTTCATATTATTTGAAATTTACTGTTTAATAATCTATTGCGAAAAAAAAGATTTTTAAACGTATTCACGAAAAAAAAGGTTAAAAATTGAGATATTGAAGTCCGAAAATATTTAAATCCGGATCTTGATCAAACGTTGTAGTTGCTGATTCATTTGTATTGACGAAATTATCATTATCGGTGCTTGAATTTTGCTCGATTTGGTTTATATTTAAAGATGATGGTGATTCAAAATCAAAATTGTCATTATAATAATAATCTTCATTATTATTATTATTATTATCAAATCCAAATTCATAATTATCATAATCGAGATCCGGAGAAGTTGATGATGACGATAAATCAGGACTTGGATATTCACGATCATTCATCATATCCAAATAATAATCAAAGTTGGAAAATGTATTAGGTGCAAATGTAGCTGAAAGATTTAAAGGAACCATTTCAGAAGAGATCGATTGTGTGGTTGTTGTTGTGGTTGTTGTTGTGGTGGTGGTGGTGGTGGTATTAATCGAAATAGGAATTTCATCCTGTATGATTGGGCTCGTTTCCGGAGTGATAATAAAAGGTGAGTTGCTGAAAGTTGGATCATAATTATAATCATAATTATAATCAATGGGATTAACAGGATTGCAATCAAGCTTTGGATTATAATTGACTTGACTTGTAGCACTATTATTATTTTTATTATTATTTGATGATGAAGGTTTATTATTTTTTGTCGATTTGATTGTTGAAGTTCTTCTTTTGGTGGAAGTTTTTGGTTCAAAGAAAATGACATTCCAACCATCTTTTTTCTTATTACGTCGATTACTTTTATTGCTTGGAATCAGTTCATCACGAAAATTTTTAGCTTCTTTTGCAATCCTTTTATATTCATCCTGAACATATTTTGGTTCTTGCTTCCAAAATTTAGAAGCCATTGCTGATACAACCGTCATGGGTAATTGATATCCTTGCGATCTTGCAGTTTGAAAAAACATTGTTCGATATAAAATAAACGCATTTGGAGATCTTAGTGAAGATATGGATTTATCATCAAGGCTGGTTGTGGTGGATGCAGATGTTATTTTTGTTTTTTGGCTCTTGTGACGAATAAATAAATCTTTAATATTTATTTTTGGCGGAAAAGGTGGTTTCATAAAGGAATGATGAGATCCATTATTGATCACTTGGTTGTCATTTGAGTTAATGAAAACGCAAGCACGATGAGCGAGATTGAAAGAACTGGAGATTGGTGTTGTTGTTATTTTTGTCGAATCATCAATGTTAATGTTGATGTCGTCAATGATTTCGTTTTGCGAAAAAGAAGAATAAAAATAAGAAGAATTCATCGTTAAAAAATAATTTTATTTAATAATAATAAAAATTAATTATTTAATACTATTATTAAATTATTCGTTATCATGAAATTTTAAGAGTGAAAAAAGAGAAAAGAACAAAATATCTTCTACTTTTATGCATTTTTTTTACTTAATAATTTAAAATTTTTTTAATTATAAAAAAAAAAAAAATCAAAAATAATTTTTATAAGGAAATTTTTTTATGAAGAATAAACGTTTGTGATTAATTAAAATAGCGATTTTGCCAAAATGGCTTGACATTTTTTTACACAATGTAATAGAGTATGATATAAAAATAAAATTCCATTTACAATAATTATGCATTGTTCCAAAAAAAAAAACGTCTACTTTCCAAATTTGTAAGTAAATTATAAAACGACTTTTTGAGAAATCAACAATCATTTTTGCGAGAACGCCTCTTTGATTTTTTAAAAAAAAAAAAAAAAAAAAAAGGAAATTTTGTAATAGTAAAATAGGTACAAGGGATGATATATGGGACAATTTCTTTGGGAAATTAAAATAAGATTTTTTTAGGATTTCATTTAATCCATTATTATTATATTATTACCCGATTGCCGGCCGATTCAAAAAAAAAATTTGCATGCACACGTATCCATTTGTAAATTCCCGTTCTATATCATATGAATATTAATATGCCATGCCAAATTATAAATATCGACCGATCAATGTGCTCACTCTTGTATAAAAACAAATTCGATTTTTTTTTTATTTAAAAAAATTGGTTTTATTTATCACTACCAAAAAGAAGAATTTACAAAAATCATAAATTATTAAAATATTAATGATAATGTTGATAATATAACCCACCTCTAATCCAAAGCCCAACACACACAAAGTCTAATTCTACTAATTCCACTTTCAATATCATTTATTTATTATTTAAGACCATCTATCAACCTTAATATTACTTAAAAATTGCACCGCTTTGGGTTGATTTTTTAAAGCTGCCATCTTTAAGAATTGCAAACCTTTCTCTACGTCTTTCTTCAAACCAACCATACCACCATAATACATTCTGCCCATATTAAATTGTGCAGTGGCATTACCGTTATCAGCTGCCAAAGTCAAATAATTTAAGAAGGCATCCGTGTCTTGTATTATTTGATCATGGTATAATGAGAAAGCGTAACGTAATTGACTGTCAGCAACATCACAATCAGCCGCTTCCTTAAAATATTTTGTACCTTTCTGAACATCTTTTTCAACGTGGTAACCTTCTGTTAGATAATGTGCTTGCCAATATTTTGCATAGTTATTGCCCAACTTTGCATGATATTCAAAACATTCCCATGCTGATTTCCTTTCATTTGATTTATGAGATTTTATCCCATCCTCCAATAATAAAACTGGTTTTACTTTAGGGAACACATCTAAATCTGGATCATGGAAATCTATTTTTTTATCATCAATAACGTCAACATTCATCAATGAATCATCGTCTATTGTTGTTGGCCCGCCTTCCTTCTTGATTAATTTTTGACTTATACCTGCTGATACTTCATTTGGATGTTCATTTTGATATTTTTGTAGTAAATCGTATAATTTTAAAAAAACTTGATATAATCCAGGTCTTAAACATGGATCATCTTGCCAAGCTATCAAAAAAAAATTTTTTTTTTGTTTAAAAAGGGGGGGTTTTTTTTTAATTAAAATGAAAAAAATAAATTTATTTATTTAAAGCTTTATATACCAGCTCTAATAAGTTTTGCATATTCCCGTTTAAACCAAGGCATATCATCACCCCCAAAGTTAATGATTTCACGTTTACCAGATTTTATATGTTCAATGATTTGTGTATAAGATAGATCTTTATAAGGAATTTTATCAAATGCAAATTCCCATAATAACATACCAAAGCTAATAATATATTTTATAGTGAAAATAAATAAATTAGATTTTTTATTAAATAAATTAAATAAGTAAATTTTACAAGTAAAATAAAAAAATTTGATACCTAAAAACATCACATTTATGAGAAAATTTTGCCTTTTTTGATTGTCTTAATTTTTCTGGTGCTAGCCAATGTACAACAGCTGTAATATCTTGTACAACATATCTACTATATTTTGTTGGTTTTGCAAATCCAAAATTTGCAATTTTTGGTGACAAATCTTTAGTCATCTAGGCAAAAGAGAAAGAGGAAAAGAAATGATGTTTATATAATAATATTTGTATATATATATATATATATATATATATATTTTCTTTAAATATAAATTTTTTTGCATTGTAATATTATTATTATTATTACCATAACGTTTTGACATCTAATTTCTTGATGAAATATTTGACATCCATGTAAAAATATTAGACCACGACAAATTCCAAGGGCAATGCTAAGTTTTTCATACCAACAAATTTGATAGGTTTCATAAAGATTTTGTAAATCATTATTTTCACACCATTCAAATACTAAATTTTGACATTCACCCGGTATTTCTGTCGTGCCATAAAATTTTAAAATGTCTTCAGATTTATTCAAATCCTCCAACAATATCAATTCACTATAAAATCTCGCGTTTTGGTCTGAATCAAAACTTTTACACGCAACTTTTACACGTTTTATTCGACTGTTCTGTTGTTCGCTATTATTGTTGTTCTTGATATTATTATTCTTGTTATTGGCATTAATATCAATATTATTGTTGTCTTTATTATTAATAATAATAATATTATTACTGTTACTACTACTACTACTACTACTACTATTATTATTACTGTTGTTGTTATCATTACCATTAATAATATTACCACCACTCAAACTACTATAACACCAATATTTGTTGTAACCATAATTAACATAAGTACTCCACATGCTAGCTTTATTACCACGGCTGATATTATTACTTGTTTTGTTATTATCTCCACCGCTATTATTTCCTTTTTTATTATTGATAATATTAAACAAAGAAGAATTCTTGAAATTTTTATTCATTTTAATCTTGTTACCTTTTTTAGTCTTATCTTCATCTTCATCTTCATCATCTTCTTCATCTCCTTTTTCAGGAATGTTATATGTCATTTGTGAAAGATTATTATGCTTTTTTAGCCGTGTTTGATCCGTTAGATATTTCGGTTTTAATGATTTGGCCTTAAACTTATGTACAGCATTATCCGCCGTATAATTTTTTTTTAGTAGTACAGTTTCAAAGATAAGATTTATATTTTTATCTTTGCCTGTGATCCCTCCTCCAACCATATCTAGGAACTAATTAATAATTACCAATTACATTATAATAATCGTAATTAGTTATTATTTTATTTATTTAAAAAAAGATTTTTTCCCACACTAACCTTTTTTAATTCATCAATTTCCTCATTTAAAGCATCCGAGTCTTTACGATGTTGTTCATCTAAAAGATAACCCAAGTTGAAACCTAATTGATCAACAACTCTCTCAAATTCTGATACAATGTCTTTAAATTGATTCTTTATTTCATCAAAATTATGATTATATTTTCTTAATCCATTAAGCAATGAAATGTCCGAGATAAATTTTTTAATTTTATTTAAATTATTGATGAGCCTCAAGAAATTGTCATAATAATGTTGTTGAAGAAACGATTTTGAAAAATCTTCTTTGTTTCTTTTCAATGTTCTTAATGAAATCTCTAAACATTCCACTCTATCCATTAACAAATCACAAATTCTTTTGTTATATTGTGTTGCTTCATAGATTGTTTGTATCTGATTAATAACTTCTTGAATTTGTGTTATCAATTGATCAAAAACTTTTGATGCTTCTCCAAGTGCTCCTATCACTCCTAAAGCTCTTTTTGCATATTCCCATTGAACTTCTTTTTCAAGTATTTCACCAATAACATTATTATCATTAAAATTGTTGTTACTACTTGATATTGTATCAAGATCGTTATTTTGCATATAACCGTCCATTATACTTTTTCCAAATTTTTTATTTTCCTCGCAAAAAAAAATTTTTAATTTTTTTGAAACTGACTGATAGTCAGGACAGCCTTCCTTTATATGTCAACTTTTATTGACTATTCAAGGCCTAATTTGGATTAACAATTAAAGAAAGTTTTTCTTGTGTTTTGTATTAATATTTTTTTTTAACAATTAATTTTTACAAAATAGACTAAACATAAATGACATAAATAGAACAAATAAAATGTAGATCTTGATATTTTTGATCACCTTTGGGAATGCCTGGTTTGGGAATTTTTTATCGGAATCTTTCAAAAAATATGTCCTGCCGATCAATATCATAATAATAATAATAATAATAAAATAATCAACGGGAAAGTTTATTTTCCGAAATTTTTCCGGTGATCGCAATTTTTTAATAATTATAATGCTTTGTTTGGGTTGGTTTTGGCTCTTCTTTCACCTCAAAAAAGCAAGCCTTTATTTTAATTGAAAGAAAACAATTAATTATTTGCTAAAAAATTGATTTTTCAGTAAAGAAAATAGTATGTATTTTGTGTGTGTCTTGTATACAATACATTAATATTAACACCATGTAATGCATACGGGAAAACTGGAAATACGAATCCCGTAATAGTATAACAATAATAATAAGAGTAATAGTAATAACAATAATAGTAGTAATAGTAAAATTCCGTGTTAGTGTATATTTCGTATATATTCCGTATGCATCCGTGCTTTTTCACTGTAATAGTAATATTCCGTGTTAGTATGGTAGTTCAGAGAAACATACGATGCATGTACTATTTTTCCGTAAAAATTTTCTATAGGGTTACCATAATTAGAACAGAATATAGTTTCAAACATTCTTTCCTTCTCTCTTTCAAGTAAATCAGTGTGTGTTTGATCCATAATTCACCGTTATATTCAGACATGTATTTTTCATGTTCAAGCATTTTATCCAAGAACTCTTTTTTTAACATATTCTCTTTCACGCCCATCATAATGCCTTTATGATATTGCTGAAATAAATAATCAAGAATATTATGTCATCTTATTGCAGTATTTTAAACCATCGCTTTTTGTTTTGGTGACTCCAATTTTAGGTAATAATTCCTCTTTGATAAAATTTTAAATTTAGATTGTGTGGCATAAAGGTGGTTAACTGCAATTCAATTTTATATGCCACAATTAGTTGCAACTAGTGCCAAATTCGAACATTTCTTATATCAGTATTAATATTAATAATGTGATGCATAAAATCATCGTTCCAGGGTCAACTAATTTTAGTGTATTTTACGCAAAAGCTTTTTATAACATCAATATTGATTGATCAAGTTACTTTGCAATAATAATCACATCTTTATTTTTATCTTTATCAACGAAAATTTCATTAAAGATAACTTCTGGTCCTCTCAGAGATAATTAAGAATAAAACTCTGTGTTAGAATCATAGCGTTAATAAGCTTTTAAACATAAAATAAAAAATAAAACATTGTCTTTATTTTCCTTGTTTAAAGCGCTCTGACAAAAGCAGCAAGCTTTGGTGAAAAGCCACGTTTATTTGCTTTAATGAGCAAGAAAGCAAGGTTAGGACTAACGTTGATTAACTAATGAGTGCCAACAACGATTGGTAGCGTAATTTGCTTTAGTGAGTAAGCAAAGGTTTGGACTAATGTTGGTTAACTGGTGGGCGTTAATGAAATAGTATTATTGTAGTAGTAAACGTAAGGTTGTTAATCAAGCTATTTGAGTTGTTTTGCAAGTAGAGTTTGAAATCGGTCAATAAATGTAAACAAGGGCAAACAACTGAAACAGATCGATCATAAGTGAATAAAAGGAACCTTATATCATTGCAAGAGAGCCATCTTTACTTATTTACAGTAATCTAATACCATTAAGTATGCTCCGAAACGATGTCTTGCAATATCACCATTAACAAGAATCAAAAATTGTAAAAAGTTTATTATTTCAAAATATTGTTACAAGATAAGAAATAAATAAGGATGAAATAAAAATATAAATAAAAAGAAGATAATAAATTTATAGTGGAGATTAAATTAGTCATTCATTGCATCTTTATTTTACTATATATTTTTATTAGAATCTAATGTATTAATTAATATAGTTAGTAATAATTAATGGTTAGTAATTTCCAATTAATTAATAATAAAATTTTATTACCTTTAACATTTTAGAGAAAAGAGTCAAAATCAAGATTATTCAACGAACTATCATTACTTGTATAAATCTTCAA